CAAAGCAGTCTTTTACCCCAGGTGTACCTAAGGTAGGCAGGACCAGGGGGCAGGGGCACCCCTGTGTCCACAGGGTAGCCTAGGTTCCAGGGGTCTATCGGAAGAGGTCCGAGGCCGGGGGCCAGCCCTGGCCCTGCTCACAGGGGCCTCACTGGAGACACCCTGCACCGGCCATGGGGAGCTAAAATTGGAAAGTAGCAAGTGGGAGGCAGCTGACAAAGCTATTTCGCGGGCTCTTCACTCTGCTCCGGTTTCAAGCTCCTGCTCCAATAACCCGATCCTCCAGGCCTCCCTACCCCCACCTGGCCGATGAGGAGCTGCCTCAGCCCTCAGCCCAACAGTGCAGAAGTCAGGCTGGGAAGCCCCCTTGTATGGGCAGGGGCAGCAATGCTCTTCTCTTATCTGAGATTCCAGACAGCTCACTGAGAACACACAATCCTGTCCCAGGCTCACTGTGTGACCTTGACAGGTCCCTGTCCCCCTCTGGTCCATGACCCCTCTATCTATGTAGTCGGGAGAATGCCAACTCTGGGGGCCCAGGAGAGCTGGTTGTGGTGCTGGTAAGGAAGATTTGGGGGAGGATCAAGGGTGGAAGACATGGTCATGCCAGCCACCTCTTGGCCCAGCCCAGGCCAAGAAGGTGCCTATACATGTTTCTCCCTTTAATTTGGCCCTGGGTCTGTCAACCAATGCACCCTTGGGAAGGCCCCAGGCCAGGCTGCAGTCTAGGAGGGGATAGGAAGGGATGGCCCAGCAGGACTCCTGAGGATGAACTAGGCACTGGAAGGAGGGAGTGGCTAGGCTCACCGTGAGTCCGATAACAGTCAGCACCTTGGACAGTGGCCAGCACCCTCCCTGGTGCCCGCCTGGCCCTGCCTGGCCCCACACCCACTACCCTGGGGCACCTCTTCAAATAGCACCGGCTCCAGCCAGTATCCAGGGCCTGAATACACAAGTACTGAGAGAGTGGGGCTGGTGTGGCCACGGACACAGGCAGGGACCAGGGAAGTGGCAGACTGGGGCTCAGAGGCTGGTTGGGGCAATGGGAGTCAGTGAAAGGCTGGAGGCTGAATGAGAGGTAAGGAAGCTTGATGCTGGGGACAGGACCTTGGGGGTCATGAGCTCTCAGGGAAGTAAAGGCAGCTCTGGAGGGGTGTGGGAATCAAAGAAGGGGATGTTGAGGTGAGTGGGGCATTATTAGGAGCTAAAGGAGGCTTACTGAGGGGTGTGGGGACCCTTGGGGCCAGAAACATGATTGAGGTGATATAGGGTTCTTCCACATGAAGGTTATCTGAGGCCCTGGCAGAAGCAGTTTGAGCAAAAGGTGGGGACCGGTCTCCCTGAGAGGTATGAAAGATTAAGCGAAGATGAGGCAGACAGGCTGAGAGTGAAGCTTATGTTTTCCAGAGCCTTCAATGGGCAGGGTGGGAGTGGGAGTAGCAGCTAGGAAGGGACACGGGATGTTGGCAGGTGTGGGAGGAATGGGGAGAGGGGAGGGGAGGATAATAGCATGAGATCTCTGAAGGGCAGGAGGGGCAATCTCTCTTCAGAATGGGATCCCCATCACCTTTGTGGGGCACCATGAGATGGGGCTAGGCAGGGCAGGGGGGCAGCAGTGCCCTCACTCGATCTGTCTCCCCCAGCACCATCCAGGCTATGGGCATCAAGACAGCGTTGCCCGCGGCGGAGCTGGGCTTGTACTCCCTGGTGCTGAGTGGGGCTCTGGCCTATGCTGGCCGGGGCCTCCTAGAAGCTTCACAAGGTAACAGCCGGGCTCTGGAGCAGAGGGTGGGAACCTTCTTCCCCTTGGGGCCTCAGGGTTCCACCCAGCAAGGCCAACATATTCCCTAGGCCCAGGGGGTTGGGCTGAGCTAGGCATAGTCACAGGGAGAGACAGATGCAGAGACACTACAGAGACCAGCACACAGAGCCACAGAGAGAGAGAGAGAGAGAGAGACTCAGACACTCGGGGATACAGTCAGAGACCTGGCCCCAGACACACAGTGAGACCCAGAGAGAAGCAGAGGCAGAGAGAGAGAGAGACCGATCTAGACCCATTCCCCTGCCTCTAGGGTGGGAGTCAGCCTTGCTGTAGGGGCAGGTGTGAGTGTGTGTGTGTGTGTGTGTGTGTGTGTGTGTGAGTGGAGTCCTCCCCAGCCCCCACTAAGGCCACATTCCGTTCTCAGATGGGGCCCACCGGAAGGCCTTCCGGGAGTCTGTGCGACCTGGCTGGGAGTATATTGGCCGGAAGATGGTAGGTCCTACGCCCCAGGATCCCTGACTGAGGTCCCTTACCCTTGGCATGTCTCTCCCATCCCAGACCCTTCCTGACTCTCCTATTCCAGATATTCCCATGTAACAGAGGACTCACAGTGGGGAGGGTCTGTGGCTTGAGCTTCAATGCTTTCAGTTTCTCCACTGGCCTATCCTGTGTCCTCCTGGGGCCACATCAAGCCTGACCCAGACACTGTTCATTTAGCAAATAAATTGAGACATGCTTCAGCAGGGGCCTCCAGAACCACCCTTCCCAGGAACGATGCAATAATGGTGTATTGGGAGGCAATATGCTGGACAGAAGGGGAGCTTTGAGGGGCAGGGCAGCTCACATGGTGCCCCTCACTCCTCTCTACCTACCTGGCTGGGGAAGGCAAGGACCTCAGCTATTGCTGTCCTCTACTGCATAAGAATACAGGGGCTGGAGAGGTGCTGGGACTCTGATCAGCCAAAGTGCCAGCCCATCCTGCCCCCTGCCCCTCCTTAACCTGCCCGGGCCTGCCCCAGGACGTGGCTGACTTCGAGTGGGTGATGTGGTTCACCTCCTTCCGCAATGTCATCATCTTCGCCCTCTCTGGACATGTGCTGTTTGCTAAACTCTGCACGATGGTTGCCCCCCAGGTGAGCTGGACTGGGCCACCCTAGCCTCCCCTGCAACTCCCCCTCAGCTACAAGGGTTGGGGTCCCACCTCCATTTGTATGGATAGATAAGCCATTCCTTCTCCCTGTCTACAGCTCCGCTCCTGGATGTATGCCGTGTATGGGGCCCTGGCCGTGCTGGGCACGATGGGTCCTTGGTACCTGCTGCTGCTACTTGGCCACTGTGTCAGCCTCTATGTGGCCTCACTCTTGGGCCAGCCCTGGCTCTGTCTCGGCCTTGGCCTGGCCAGCCTTGCCTCCTTCAAGCTTGATCCTCTAATCTCCTGGCAGGTGTGCAATGGGGAGCAGCAAGGGTGGAGGGTGCAGGAATAGAACCCCAAACTTCTCACTCCATCCAGAGCCCTTACCTCCTGAGTCTCCCCAAGCATTTCCTTCACTTTCCCACCTGTCTCCAAGCCTTTGACTGTGGCATAGACCTGCCCACAAAGTGGCCCCATCCACTGCAGCAGGGACAGGTGATTTCCTGCTCTGTCCAAGCACTTAACATGAATTAGCCCTCAGTGGCCAGTGTTGACTGACTCTGGGCAAGACAGGAAGGGGCAGGACAAGGCTGGGCCCCTGTGGGAAGCTGGGTGGACTTCCCAGAGACAGGGGCACCTGGTGAGCTGGCGGCCTATTCTCTCCCATCCAGAGCGGGTTTGTAACAGGCACTTTTGATCTTCAAGAGGTGCTGTTCCACGGGGGCAGCGGTTTCACAGTGCTGCGTTGTACCAGCTTTGCACTGGAGAGCTGTGCCCGCCCCGATCGCCGCTATTCCCTAGCTGACCTGCTCAAGTACAACTTCTACCTGCCTTTCTTCTTCTTCGGGCCCATCATGACCTTTGATCGCTTCCACACCCAGGTGAGAGGACACCCTGTGGGCCCCCAGAGCAGGGCTGGGGCGCGGTCTTCAGAGAGGGGCTCCCATCTCAGATAGGACTCCCAGGGCAGGCTGTGTCCCCATCCTCAGGCATGACCCCAGGATGAAGCCGTAGTGGCCTGCCTCCTCAGACCCCAGCATGGGGCCACATTCCCCCTTCAGACAAGGATCACCGGGTGGAGAAGTGTCTCCACTCTCGGGCAAGGCTGCCAGGATGAAGCCGCGTCTCCCCTCAGCCTCGGATCCCCGGGCAGTTGGTGCCTCCTCATTCAGAAAGGATTCCTCCGGCAAGGCTTGCCTCCCCACTCAGACACTTGGCATCCCCCAGATGAGTCAGGTGGAGCCGGTGAGGCGCGAGGGTGAGCTGTGGCGCATCCGGGCCCAGGCCGGCCTCAGCGTGGTGGCCGTCATGGCCGTGGACATCTTCTTCCACTTCTTCTACATCCTCACCATCCCCAGCGACCTCAAGTTTGCCAACCGCCTCCCGGACAGCGCCCTCGGTGGGTGCGCGTGGGGCCAGAACAGGGGCTGGGAAAGACAAAAAGACCCTCTGCGCCCCCATGGCGTCACAGCTGGGGAAGCTGACACCCTGAGAGGGCACAGCACCTATCCAAGGGTGGGGGGACGGGGACTTATTCTTTGAAACGCGGGGGACTTGGAGATAGCTTTGTTCTGCAAGGCCAGAGCAGTTGGGGCTAAAGCCCGCCCCACTGGGCCTTCGGGTTGACTTCCACAACCCGGAAGGGGTCTCCCCGGGGCGGGCCCAGTCCAGCTCCTCCCCCAGGAAGTAGGGACGGGGTCTCTGTGCGGGCTGGCCGGGTGCAAGGACCTCCCCTACGCACTGTGGAGAAAGTCTGTAGGGGAGACCCTGGCTCTGCGCCACCCCCTCCTGGGATTTGGGGATCCGGGGAGCGAAGACCCGCGCGATGCCCCCCAGGCAGTGACGACACCCTGTCCCCAGCTGGCCTAGCCTATTCAAACCTGGTGTACGACTGGGTGAAGGCGGCCGTGCTCTTCGGCGTGGTCAACACCGTGGCTCGCCTTGACCACTTGGACCCACCCCAGCCTCCCAAGTGCATCACCGCACTCTACGTCTTCGCGGAAACGTGAGTGCGAGATCCCGGGGACACGCCACGGGGACCCCCACTTTCCCGTAGCCTCTTTCCCCCACTCCCCTGGAGCTCTGCTACGGGCTGATGACACCCATCCACTCTCCTCCCTCAGGCACTTCGACCGTGGCATCAACGACTGGCTTTGCAAGTGAGTTGGGGTGGGGTGGGGCAATGGTCACATCAAACTGCCAGGTGTCTGAGCAGGGCAGTGCAGAGACTGGTCCACGTTCTAAAAGATCAGCCCTGGGCCAGAGGAAGCAAGGAGGAGGTCGTCGCAGAGGTCTAGGTGAAAGACAGAGGTTTGGACGTGGATGGGGGCATTGGAGGTGAGAAATGGTTGGAGACACACCAGGGGGAGCCTGGACAGGACTTGGCCATGGATTGAGGGATTGGGAAGGAGAGGGTGATGACTCCCAGATTCCTATCTGGGAGGTGCGGCATCCAGAGAGGGGTTCTGTGTGAGAAATGTCTGGTAAGATCTGGGAGACATCATTGTGGAGGTTCAGAGAGGTGGTTGGGTCTGAGGGTCTGGGGTCCAGAGAAGTCTGGCCAACTGATGCAGCTCTGAGTGTCATGAATGTGGGAGGGTAGTCTTTGGTCCTTGGGAGTGCATTAAGTCTCCAGGAGAGAGAGCAAAGAAGAGGAGACTAAGCGTAGCTGAGATTGGAGCTGGAAGGACTCCCATTGGGGGAAAAGGGAGAACCGTAGAAGGGACTGAAAGGCATGGTCAGAAGAGCAGAACGGTCAAGACCACATGACAGCCTGGAAACAGAGGGAGACCAACCAGGCATTGTGGGGGCAGCTGGGTCAGATGCTGCTGGGGAAGCTACTGAGGGGGGAACACAGAGGAGTGACTGAAGGGAGAGGTGAGGTGTCTTAAGACAGCAAACAATGGGACGTGCTTGGTTGCTAGAAGTATAAGCTGGGGAGGCAGAATACAGGGGTGATTGTTAGCGTAAGGTCTCTGGGAGGTGATGGAACCAGAGCCAGGCAGCAGCTTGGCTTTGGGACAGGGAGGAGGAAGAGAAGCCATCATGGAAGCAGAATGGCAGATGAGTGTAGAGAAGTAAGGGATCCACCTGAAGGCTTTGGTTTTCTCCATGAAGTGGGAGGCAAGGTCACCAGCTGAGAGGTGCAGAGTTGGGCATGGAGGGAGGCAGCATCTTTGTGTCTGCTTTCCTCCTGCCTAGCTCGCCCACCACACCCATTCAAGTTTTGGGAGAGATAAGGGTGGCATAGCCACTGCAGAGCATGGCAGACGAAGCTGACCAGAGAAACCGTGGCATTGAGAGCCCAGGTGGGGTTGAAAGTAGTGGATTTTTGGACACTAATATGTGAAGGTGTCAGATTTTCCTTATTAGGGCTTAGCTTCTTGGGTGCGGGTAAGGAGAAAGTGGGGGATTGGGCTCTCTCAGATGGGTGAGAAGGAAGAAGTGAAGGATACAGGGTTTTAGATTATTTATAATGATGACTCGTTGAATTTAAGCCCATTAAAGATGGTGGTAAAGATAGGGTCTTACGATGAGGAAGGGGCAGAGGGGTCAGTGAAATTGAAGAAGTGGAGGTGGGAGGCCACATCAGGAGGGGCTGGTCGAGAATGGTAATTAGGAAGGAGTGAAATTTCAAGAGGTGACAAAGTTGGAGTTTGTCCATGGGAGTGGGTGGCTGAGTTGATGTGGAGAAGAAGCCATTGGCAATGAAGAGGTCAAGGCATGGTGAGGCCAGTTACTCAAGGGGTCTTCTACTGAATTTGTTTAACAAATATTTATTGAGAACCTACTATGTGCCAGGCACTGTTCTAGGCACTGGGGATACAGCAGTGAACATGGCAAAGACCCTGAACTCATGGAGCTTACAGTCTAGTGGGGAGAAACAGACCATAAACAGGTAAACAAACACATAAATAAGATAATTTTAGAGAGTGGTAAGCGTTATGAAAAAAGTAAAACAAGTGTAATGGGATAGAAGCTGGCCACAGGATAGAAGCTTCTACAGCTGTGGTCCGGGCAGGCCTCTGTGAGAAGCTATTTGAATAGAGTATTGAGTGATAAGGAAATCTGAGGAAGAGAAGTCCAGAGAGAAGGAACAAGTGCATAGGCTGGAGACAGGACCCAGCTGTGTTTATCTGAGGGACAGGAAAGCCAGTAAGGCAAAAGCATGCATGAATGAGGGGGGAAATGGTAGGTGATGAGGTCAGGGAGGGATCTTCTAGACTTAGTTGAGAGGTGGTTTATTCTAAATGTAATGGGGAGCCGCTGGGGGAGGGTTTGATCGCGGAAGTCATGTGATCTTACACTCTTAAAAGATACCTCTAGCTGCTGTAGGGGGAGAATGGACGGTAGGGGGCCAAAGGGAGAAGCAGAGAAATGGCTTGAGAGGCTCTTGCAATAATCTATGAGAGGAGATGATCGGCTGGATGAGGGTGGTAATTGCGGTGGCAGCAGTGGTCAGGACTGGGTGGAGCCTATAGAATTTGCTGGCTTGGATGTGGAGAGGGGACCTGATAGTCCAAAATGGCACCGAGGCTTCTGGGTGCAACTGAATGAATGGAAGTGTCATTATCTGAGATAAGGATGCAGCGGGTTTGGATAGGGATGGGGGAATCAGTCATTCAAGTGAGATGTCTAGTGACAGGGAAATGTATGGATCAAGGGAGCAGGCTAAAGACACAGATTTGGGGCTCATCAGCATAGAGGCAGTGTTCAAAGTCTTGGGTCTGGATGAGATCACTTAGGGAATGAATAGGAGATAGGGAATTCAAAGCTGAGCCTTGCACCTTCTGAAGTTGGGTAGAGGAGAGGCAGCCTCCTCTGGGTAAAATGTGCCCAGGGTGATAGCGTTGAGGAGGGCTGCCCCTGTTGTGTATCCTTTGCCCATCTCCTACTTGCCCTCACCCACACTCTTGCTTGTCCTTTCTCCTGCCTTTCTTGCAGGTATGTGTATGACCACATTGGTGGGGAGCACTCCGAGGTGATCCCGGAGCTGGGGGCCACTGTGGCCACATTTGCCATCACCACTCTGTGGCTTGGACCTTGTGATATTGTTTACCTGTGGTCATTCCTTAACTGCTTTGGCCTCAACTTTGAGCTCTGGGTGCAGAAGCTGGCTGAGTCGGGGCCCCTAGCACAAATTGAGGTGAGTGGGGAAGGTCTGGGGTAGCGGTTGGCTGGGTCATTGGAGGGGGTGGCACTGCTGCTTTCTAGAGTCTTCCAGCCACATGTGGCCCCCCCGTCCAGAACTTTCTCAGCACACCCTCCTTGTTGTCAGGGCAGTGGCTCCCCCTTTGGGTATCTAGCACTTCCTTCTATGAGAAGTGGGCGCCTGCACCAGGCTGTGTTGGGTCAGACCGTCCCCTCTCTCTGGTCATCCGTGTCCTCATCTTTAACACTGAGGGGGAGCTGGGGTGCCTGGGTGGCTCAGTCAGTTAAGCATCCAACTTCAGCTCAGGTCATGATCTCACAGTTCGTGGGTTTGAGCCCCTCGTCAGGCTCTGTGCTGACAGCTCAGAGCCTGGAGCCTGCTTTGGATTCTGTGTCTCCCTCTCTCTCTGCCCCTCCCCTGCTCATGCTCTGTCTCTCTCTCAAAAATAAACAAACAAACATCAAGAAAAAAAAAAAGAGAGAGCTGACCTGGGGGCTCTCAGAGACCCAAGCCCATCCCCAGGACCTGGGATGGCCATGTGGGCAAGACCTGTGGCCAACCATGTCCTCTTTCCTCTGGCCCTCTTGCCCCACTGCCAATGCTCTCCTGGACTGGGCAGGCCTCTCTGTCGGAGCAGATGTCTCGCAGGGTCCGGGCCCTCTTTGGGGCCATGAACTTCTGGGCCATCATCATGTACAACCTTGTAAGCCTGAACAGCCTGGAGTTCACAGAGCTGGTTGCCAGGCGCCTGCTACTCACAGGTGAGGGAAAGGGGGGTGTGGCTATAAAAAATGCCAGGCATCAACCTTGAGGACTGTGACCTTCTGGCCCTTCTGAAATGCCCCCACCCCAACCCAACACCCTGGGGACTCAGAGGGAGGGCTAGTCAAGTGGGGACAGGCATGAGAAGAGTCACTGAGGATGGGGTCCTGCTCCTGCGCATTGATGACCTCTTTCCCGCACAGGGTTCCCCCAGACCACTCTGGCCATCCTGTTTGTCACCTACTGTGGTGTCCAGCTGGTGAAGGAGCGAGAGCGAACCCTAGCACTAGAGGAGGAGCAGAAGCAGGACAAAGAGAAGCCCGAGTAGGTGGGAGGAGGAAGAGGGGAGAGGGATGGGTTCTGCTCAGCTGTTCCCAGGCCCGGGCCCAGACCAGGCCAGATGGGGCCTGACTGATAGAATAAAAGACTTTTCTACCACAGTTCGGCTGTTCCCTGTCCCTTCCCCCAGCGGTCTCCTGGCTCCTTGTCCATGCTGGATGAGGGGGTGGAGGTTCTGGGCCCCAGGGAGTGGGGGGCAGGCTCTTGGTGCACACAGACTGCGGAGGAGATACCTGTGTGTGGTGCAGAGGCCGCTGACCTGGCCAGCCCAGCAGCTGAACGTTGAAGCCCAGAATCTTCAACCACTTGGTCACTGACTCTTGGAGTACCTGATTCCAGACCCTGAGCTACTTGCTCAGAAGGCACTTTATTCTTCTTAAGGAAGGTGACTTATCCAGGCCGCAGGGTGTGCTTGAGGGGGACACTCCCCATCTGACAGGTAAGGAGATGGCTTCCCGTGGGGAAATTTCCCCACGCACACACACGCAAGCTGGGACTGGGCCAGAATGCAGCCTGGGACACCTCTCTGTGGTTCTGGCTCATGGAACAAGGACATCAAGGATACGGAGATGCCTATGAGCCCTTAAGTGCCTCGTCCCTGCCCGGAAAGGCTAGGACTGGGCAGCAATTTCCCTCCCCTGCCAAAGCAGCAGCCTGGGCGGCACAACGGGATCCAGGTGGGTTCTGGCCTCTCCCAGCCTCCTCTCGGGAGTCCCCACATGGCGGGCCTGTGTGGCCACAGGACAGGAGGGATGCTAAGTTCAGGCCCTCCGGGCTGGTCACATCTTGGTCAGGCGCAGCACGTTGAGCCGCACAGGTAGGAAGGTGGCACCGGCTGCGTAGGCAATCTCCCGCAGGACGCCCTCCCACTTCTTCTCATCCTCATTATATCTGGGGGTGGGAGGGATTGGGGACAGGAGCGCAGAGCTTGGTCAGCCAAGTGCAGAGTGGGCCCCGGCAGGGAGGGGTGGCTGGGTATGCTAGGCCCACCCCTGGGGACTGTCCCTCCGGCCCCAGGCCCATCTCCAGGAAGGTCTGGTCCTGGAGAATTCTCATGCCCTGGGAAAGGGGGCTGCCACAAGGCCCACCCTTAAAGAACAGCCACCCCACATTCCAGGAAGGGTCACCTCTTAAGGAATGCCACACTCCTCCAGGAAGGCCTGCATCTCCATGGTCCCTCCTCTGGACAATTCTGTATTCAGCACTCCAGAAGCCCCGGTCCCCAAGTTCCACCCACCCCCATGCCAGCAGCAGGTGCTCCAGGCACGGAAACCTCTTCCCTCCACCCCCAGGAAGGGTCAGATGGAAGGTGATGGTTCTGAGAAGCTGGGGTCCAGCTTCTTCTCAATCCTGGCCCCAGTTCTCCAGGATGGAGCAGGGAAGAAAAGCCTAGCTGCCTCTTCAGGGCCCCCTCTACTCCCTGGGGCCTGTTTCTGTGGGTCTCTGCCCTAAGCTTGGGGTCAGCTCCTGACTGAGACACGGCTGATGCTCCACAGTGGGACTTGGTACCCTGTGAGTCAACCCAGACTTTGCCAGCCACACAGAGGCTGACTCTTGGAGTACCTGATTCCAGGGGCCGAGCAGGGTGTGTCTGGTGCCCCTTCCCCATGGGACTCCCTGGAAGAGGAATCGCCCCACTCCCAAATGAGCTTGCCAGTCCTGCTGTGGGGCATCAGCCTTGCTCAGACTTCCCCTCACCTCCCTGGGCCAGGCTCACCTCCAGATGTCATTGAGCTCTGTAGGGACCAGCTCTCCAGACTCGGTCTCCAGTGTGGCAAAGCCACCGATGGCATAAAGGGTGCCCGCCAGGCTGACCAGGCTGAGTGAGCTGCGTTCCTGTGGGAAGGCTTCAAAGGGTGCCCACCTGGTGGGGAGAAGGGGGCTTGAAGAGGCGCATCACCCAGGGGCCTCAGGAGCCCCAGTGCCCATAGCTTCAGCTGCACCTCCTTGAAACCTGAATCCCAGACACCCATGCTCCCAGCACAACCTCTTGTGTCCGGACCCTCCCAGGACCTCCCGCCGGTCTTCCCCTTTCTCCTGCCCCTGCCACTTCCCTTCATGGACCCCTGCTCATTGCATCCAGCCTGTCCCGCGAAATCCACCACAGATCTCCCCATTGTCCCTCCTTTGCTCCTGAGCTAATTCTTGCTTGCTCGCTACCTCAGCGGCCACTGAGCAGTCCTCTCCTGGTGCCCCTGCCCCATCCTTCTTCTCCTTTCACTGCCCAGTTATTCTCAGGGTGTCTTCACTCCCCTCCTCTGGCCCTGAAGTTGGGCCTTCATCCCTACCCTCCAAAACAGCACTCAGGTCCCCAGCCACCACAGAGCATAACATCCAGGCACAGCACGCATCTCTGCTGATGTGCCTTTCTCACCTCCCCCCTGCCTACCCTCTCCTGTCCTCAGGCTCCTTCCTGGATGATGTATCTGCCCTCACCATCCCTTGGGGTTCGGGCCTCGGTTTCTCCCTCTTACACTCTCTCTCCCGAGGGAGCTCGTCCCCTCCATTTTCTGTTGACCCCTGCTCAGCGTTCTCCCTGCCCTGGTGGGCTCCTCCTGGATGCCCCCAGTTCCCTCAAACCCACAGGTCCTAACTGGACCCTCACGTTTCTGATCTAATGCCAACTGTTCTCCAATAAATGGCCTCCCACCCTGCCTCAAAGGCGTCCACTTCTCCCTCTTATCCCCAACATCCAATCAGTCTCTAAATTCTATTTCTTGTGTCTCCTAAACTCGAGCTGCTCAAGGTGCGGCTCGTAGACCAGAAGGCATCAGCATCACCTGGGGGCGGAGGGGGAATTATTACAAAGACACACTCAGGCCCTTCCCCAGGCCTGAGAATTAGAATCTGCATTCTAACATGATCCCTGGGAGATTCGTGTGTGCATTACAGTGGGAGATGCCCTAGCCTACGTCTTTCTCCAGTGCATCCCCTCTGCCCCATTTCTGCTGTGCCCGCATCTCCAGGCCACCACCCTCCCTTGCTATACAGCTGCACCCCTGCCTCCTGGGAAATCTTCTGTCTGTTCTCCACATCAGCTGTCATCTAATAAAACACAGATGTGAGCCTAAAAGCCATCACAGGCGTTTCACCGCCCTCAGGATAAAGTCCCGCAGCCCTGCTCGCCACCTCTCCAGCCCACCCACCATACCTGAGCCAAGGCCCAACTTGGCACCAACTTCCCTCTGCCTGGGGCATCCTTCTCCCACCATCCCTTTCGTGGGCTAAGTCCAAATGGACTTCCAACTCAGTTTTCTCCCGACCTCCCAGGACCAGGCAGCATCTGTTTTGGTCACCGTTGTATCCCTGGCACCAGGCCACTGCCTGGTATGAGTCTCTGAATGAGGAACCTGGCACCTCCCACCCCACTCCTGGGAGCTCTCTCCTGCAGAGCAAGCTGGCCATACCCCTTGCCCCACCTCGTGGGGGAAGCCTGCCTCATTGCTGATCAGGGGAGAGAGGCTATGTCTGTGCTGACGTCCAAGCTCAACAGCAGACGCCCAGGGCAGCAACTATGGGTCCTGCCAGGACAGACACGGAGAGGGCCAACAGGCCCAAAGCCACACAAGCCAGGCAGTTACAGTGGGGCCCTTGGTCCCTGGCTGCCCAGCCGAAGGGGTCAGGAAACAGTCGTACTTGTTGTCCGCGATGCTGTATACTTCCGCTGAACTGGTCAGCCCCGTGTCTGTGACCCCAGCGGCTACAAAAATGCGGCCGTCGTGGACGGTGGCCCCGAAGAGGGAGCGGGCAGTCTGCATGGGTGCCAGCTCCTTCCACTCGAACTTCTTAGGGTCATAGACACACATCTTCTTCAGGCACTTCCTGGAAGGTGGGGGACACCGAGTGAGAGGGGAGGAGCCTGAGCACAGCGCCCCTCCTCGGCTTCGGCTTCGGCCTCGGTCCCTGCAGCCCGCACCAGCCCTGGAGAGCCTGGGGAGGCTGTGCTCCCGCTCTAACCTACAAACCCGCTCGTGCGCTCGCTCCAGGCCCCAGCCTCACCTGTCACCGCCCTTGCCGCCAATGACGTAGACCAGGTCCATATGGGAGAGCACCGCGTGGCCGTACACAGCGTAGGGCAGCGGGTCCGATTCGCCCCATTTGAACGACCTGAAGGGGACGGGAGTAGGGCGAGCGCCGGGGTCAGGCGTGCGCTGGGTCCGCGTCTCTGCAGTCGCCAGCCCACCCGACACACATTCGGAGCGCACCCCGTGCGCTACCGGCACCCCCAGGTCCCTCTCGCACCCCCCTGCCGACCGCCCCGCCTCCGCCTGCCCGCAGCCCCGGCTCTCGCTCGAGCCCCCGCCGCCGGGCCCCTCAGCGCCGCCCCGCCCCGCCCCGCCCCCGGCCCGCGCTCACAGCCGGTCGTAGCACATGACCGAGTCTAGGCTGCGCTCGCCGTCCTTGAGCTCCCGGCCGCCGACCACGTAGATGGAGTTGAGAGCCTCTCCCAGGCCGAAGAGGCAGCGCGGCGAGGGCAGCGGTGGCATTCCCAGCCACTCGGAATCCAGGTGGTCAAACTGCGGGGCCGGGCGTCCAGTCAGCCACCGGCCCCCACGTCTCCGGCCCCGCTCCACCCCGCCCAGCCACCCCGGGCCTCCAGGTGGGGCCAGAGCAGCCTGGAGGTCATCCCTGGAGACAGTGCCCTCTCTTCCTACCAGGCGAAGAACAACTGAGGCCTCCGGAGGTTAGGCGCCCGGAAACCACCATTACAGCGCCAGGATGGGGCACCCCACGCGAAGTCCTGTCCCTTCCCCAGTACAACTCTGCAAGTGAGGCCTGCCTGCCCTGTTTTCCACCACATCCCACTGTACAGGAAACCTCCAAATACAGCTCTGCCACTCATCTCTTAAGATCTACAGTGTAAATCTGTGGCCCCGACCACCTCCACAGTCTTACACAATGGTATCAGAGGCTCATCTATCTGGAAAGTTTCTGGAGGCTGAGCGGTGTGAGGATGAACGCTTTATCACCATCAAGTAACCTTCAAACAACCTTATCAAGCAGGCAAAATAATATCCCCATTTACAAACAGAGGCCCGGAGAAAATAAACAATGTGCCCGCCTTGGCTGGTAACTGGTGGAGCCACCCCCGGTCCCCCCACCCTGACCCTGGTTTAACCCTGGTACCGTGTTGCCCCTCACCCTTCTCACACCTGGTCAGGCCTCACTGAGCACACCACTGGCTAGGTTCATTCCAGTCTCTGTCCCTTGCTTACCATTCCCCAGGCAGAAACACCCTAACTTCCCCTTCACGCATCCAAATTCCCCCCCAAATAGCAAGACTCAAACCTACATGGCCAGTCACCAGGAAACCGTCATCTCTGCCCTCCGAGATCCCACACTACACTACCATTTGGACTGGACACCCCACTCTATTGGCCCTTTGTGGGCCTCAATTTTCTCATCTGTACAGTGAAAAGACTAGGCAGGAAAGTCCCTTTGTTTGGGACACTCTGTTCTCTACTCCAGTCCTGGCTTCATGCAAAGGCCCTGGCTCCAGACCCCTACACTGACCTTGCTCCCCCTTCTCACTGTGTCTGACCTCAACTCCTGGGCAGAGATAGAGCCTCCAACATATCAGACCATCCTGGGGCCAACATCCCCCTGAAACTGAGACATCAGAGTTATGTAACTAATTGTCAATTGCCTATAACTGTCTTTAACCTTCAGGCAAGTGGCTCAGTCAACCTCCCCCCCCCCCCCCCCCCCCCCCCCCCCCCCCCCGCCGGTGTACTTCTCGTCCTAGACCCAATGGCCACTCCCAATAAGTAGACACAAGCTTCTCCTGGGCCCCAAGGCTGCCCCTCTCCATTCCCAGAACCCAGTGCTGGCTGCCCCTCCCAGGGCTGGGCAGGCACCTGCAAGAAGTAAGCACTCATGGGGTCCTCTTTGTTGTCCTCGTTGTAGAAGAGGCCCCCGGCCACAAAGACCTGGTTCTCCTTGGTCACGAGGCTGACATGGTTCTTAGGGATCTGGGTGGAGAGGGAAGCACAGTAACACTCGTTGGCTGCTGGATCATAGGCCACGGCTCCCTCCTCGCTGATCATGAAGATGAGGTCCTGCAGGAACATGCCAAAGCGCAGAGTGTCATTGAGGATCCCGGGTATGATACGTTCGTCCTCCTCCACCTGCTCCTCCTGTGCCTTGGCTTCGCCTGTGCCCTTGTCAGCAACCTTGGACCCGGCTGCCTCCTTCCCCTTGTCCTTCTTCTTCTTGCGCAGCACAGTGAGGCGGCCCTCGTGTGCGTCCTTCACCATCTGCACCTTGCGCAGCAACTCGGGCTGGGCACGCACAAGAGGGTGGTTCTCCACGCGGCTCTCCAGGAAGGCGCGCGGCAGCAGGCGGCAGCGTATGCTCTCGAAGACGGTGGGCAGCGCACGCTGGCGCTCTGCCTGCGCCTTGGCGTCGCCGCTGCCCGCCCACCGCATCACCGCCTCGAACACCGCCTCCTCCTTCTCCACGTTGAGGCCATCGCTGGAGATGATGGCGATGAGCTCGTCGGCCGAGAGCCCGAGGAAGTCGGCGTCGCGCGCCACGAGTGAGAAGCGCGCGCAGATGAAGTCGCGGGCGGCCACGGCCAGGCGCGCGCAGTCGAGGAGGAGGCCGAGGCGGAAGACGGCCAGGCAGTTGGCGAGGCACAGGCGCTTCTGTAGGAAAGACACGCAGATGGTGAAGATGGACGGGATCTGGAAGCGGTGCGCTGCTGCGAACAAGTCCTGCACGCTCGCCTCGTCCAGCGCGATCTCCGACGTGTACAGGTAGTGCAACACCTGGGCCACCACGTCCGGGGACACCTCCTCCAGGCGCAGCTCGCCGGCCTGCTCGGGCTCGGCCAGGAAGCGCGCCCGGAAGTAGGGGCTGCAGGCGGCCAGCACCAGGCGGTGGCACGGGAACTCGCGCTCCCCTACCCGCACCACACAGTCGAGGAACTTGCCGTGGTCCAGCATGTCCTTCAGCCCGTCCTGCAGGAGCGTCTGCTGGTACAGCCGCTGCTCCTCCGCCTGCTCCAAGCCCAGCGCCATGGTGGGTGGCTTGGGGTGCCGCTGCCTGGCCAGGGGGGGGCTCCTTTTTCTATTCCTCTGCTTTCCTTCTGGGCCACTCTCAGTCTACGCAGCTGTCTTCACGGAGCTATATATAGAGGTGGACAAGACCCTGTAAGGCGAGCCGCCTGGCTTCCTGCACATGACGCAGAGGGGACAGCTGGGTGGAGGCCCCCTCCCAGAGCAGCCTTGACTCAGCCCCAGGGGCTCATGGGACGGGGGTGGGGTGTCTGGGCCTAGGAGAGCCTCGCTGCCTCATTTCTAAATGGAGCACACCGAGGTTCCGTTGCAATTAAGACTGCATTCCTTGGTCAGGCAATACCCCTGAAGGAAGGGGATGACTCAAGCTCTGCCCCTCGGTCCAGGGAGGAAGAAGCATTGGTATCCCTCTTCCAGGGTCTCCCTTCCTTCATGCCTTCTGGGCTTTTCTGTCTGGGTGCTTCCATCTTCTTCCCTGGAGTATATCTCACCCCAGCCACCCCTGGATTCAGTGTGCTTGGGTTTCCTGCTCAATGAACTTGGGAATGGCATTCACTCACTGGGGACCTTGGTGCCCTATCTTTAAAATGGGAGGACCTTTCCCCCTTTCTGCTCCAGATCTGAGACCCTCCTTAGACTGTGCAAGGAAGCAAGAAGGTCACCATCTTTCCAAAGGGCCTGTACAGGTCACATGGCTCTGTTGAGCCTCAGTCTCCCTTTCTACACAATGAGGCGTTGGAGGAGTTCAATTCTAAGGGCCACAATTACAGTTCTGCTGAGGCTCAGAAGCACTGAGGTTCTGTGTTCCTGGGAGTACACTATCACAGGGTTTTAACACTGTAAGGCGTCAGACATGCTAGAAAATTAATTTCCTAGGATTCAACTATTCTAGGTATAAAAACTCCCAGGGTTTTAGCATTCTAGAGGAGTGACACTGTGGATTCTAGTGTTCAAAACGTTAACACTCTTAAGAGTTTAATGTTCCAAGACAGCTGTCTATGCTCACTGTCTTTGGTCCATACTAAGCTTGACCTGAGCCTACGTGGCCTTGGGGCCCTTGTACCCTGTCTACCATTTAGGGGGTCAGAGTAGAGGCCAAGGATAGCCAGTCTTTATGCCCAGCCTTCTCTGACCTCCTTACCAACCTCCCCCCCCCACCACACACACACACACACACACACACACACACACACACACACACACACCAGCCTCAGCCACCAAGATTAACTTGCTCCCAAAGTGCCAGAGGCTGCAGCTGTGGGTTAAATTTAGCCCCCAGGACACTGGTGTGAACTGTTATGGGGCATTCTCCCATCATTCCTCTGAGTCACTTGTTTATAATCTCAGGCTTGAGGGGCAGAGGGATTGGAGAGGGGACCTCAGGATAGGCCAGGGCTGAGTCACCTCCCATTTGGCGATCTCAGAGATGTCACCTCCTGTCCCTCCTGAGCAGCGCATTCAACGATCGTTTGCTCACCCCACCGTCAGGTCTTAGAGAGGCACAGCAGCTGGGCACGTCCTGGAGGTGGTCCTGTCCATCTTGCAGAAAGGGCAAAGTCTCACCCCAGGGCTCCCAGCAAGGTCCTGGGCTGCAGGGCATTTCCAACAAGCACCATCAGTGAAGAGACCAGGCTCTGCAAGGCTGAGCAACTTGGCCAAGTTGCTCAGCTGGCAAGTGGCCAGGCCAGGGCTCAAGGCAGATCTGCCCACCTCCAAAGGCTGTGGGAATCCCTCCCCACCAAACTGCCTCCCGCCAATTAACAACAACAACAACAACAAATTAGTGGTAGCTTCATTTTTCAAAGACCAGGACAGAAAGTACATACCAAACAATTAACTTATGTTTATCATATGACTCAATGACGTATTTTTAGGTTATGATGAATCCCATAGTGCTCACTGCCTACCAGGCATTCCGCTAGCATATTTATATGTGGCTCATTCATTCATCGAGAACCCACTGTGCACTCTTCTCAGTGTTGAGGATTCAACAGTGAACACATCAGGCAGGAATTCCTGTCTTTATGGAGCTTATGTGCAGCCAAAGTGGGCGGTTGGGGGGAGACAGTAACAAGCAGTTATACAGAATGTCAGATGATAACTGCTAAGTGACAAGTAGCAGAGAAGAGGTCATGGGAAGGGACAGGTGGCAGTGGTAATAATTTTAGTAGATAAGTCAGGGTCGACTCACTGAGAGGACTCCATTTGAGCACGTTCAAGCCATGGGATAGGAGGATTCCAGGCAGGGGTAATAGCTTGAGCAAAGGCCCTGAGGCAGGAGCACACCTGCCATGTTCCAGGAACAGGGAGGAAGCCAGTGAGGCTGAAGCAATGAATGAGGAGGTGAGTAGGAGGAGATAAGGGCAGAGGAGTAAGGTGGGGGGCGTCAAGTAGGGCCATGTGGGCCAGTGTTCAGACTTTGGTTTTTCTCTTTGGTGAAATGGGGAGCCACTGTTTTGTTTTGTTTTGTTTTTTTAAAGAGGACTTTTTTTTAAAAGTTTATTTATTTTTGAGAGAGAGACACACAGAGAGAGGGAGAGAGAGAGAATCCTAAGCAAGCTCCACACTGTCCACGAAGAGCCAATGTGGGGCTCGAACTAACCGCGAGATCACGACCTGAGCCAAAGTTGGGTGCTTAACCGACTGAGGCACCCAGGCGCCCCTATTTCTTAATGATAATTGTGGGAAATGCAAACTTACCCACAAGTAAAGAGTCTCCCATGCCAGTCTCCCATGTCCCCATCTCCCCACTTCAGCAACTATTGAGTCACCAACTTGCGGCCAATCCCATTTCATCTGCCCCAGCCACTCTGCGAGTCACTCAGGGAGAAGTCCGGGGATTGGACGCGAGTACAGGACAGAGTGGGACAAAGCACATGGCTTTCAGCTGAATCAGGGAGGATGTCATCTCACTTCATCCTTTGAATTTTTACTCATTTAGTCTTACCCCAAATTATGAGGTAGGAATTACCCACCCCACCCCCCTTACAGAAGCTGAAATTTAAATGGCCAGCAAACAGGGATCAGTCTTATCATGTTTTTTTTTTTATTTTTTATGCTTATTTATTTTTGAGAGAGAGAGAGAGAGAGAATGCAAGTGGGGGAGGGGGCAGAGAGAGAGCACAGAGAATCGTCAAGCGGGCTCTGTGCTGACAGCAGAGAGCCCGATGTGGGACTTGAACTCACAAACCATGAGATATGACCTGAGCCAAAGTTGGATGCTGAACCGACTGAGCCACCCAGGGCCCCCCCCCAATGTTTTGGTTTTTTTTTTAATGGCTTTGTTGAGGCATAAGTGACATACAATGAACTGCACATATTTAAAGTGTACAATTTGAGAAGTTTTTTTTTAAGTTTATTTATTTTTGAGAGAGAGGGAGAGGGAGCCTGAGTGGGGGAGGGGCTGAGAGAGAGGGGAACAGAGAATCTAAAACAGGCTCAGCGCTGACAGCAATGAGCTTGAAGTGGGGCTCGAGCCCACGAACCGTGAGATCATGACCTGAGCCAAAGTCAGATGCGCAAAGGACTGAGCCAACAATTGGTAAGTTTTGATGTGCATATATATACATCCACAAAACCAGCAGCCCAATCAAGTTAGAGAACAGATCTATGTTTCCTTGTGCCCTTCTTTAATCCCTCCCTCATCTCTCCCCACAACACCCCCAGCCTGACAGTCACAGATCTGCTGTCACTATCATTCCTTTGCAGTTTTTAAAGTTTTATAGAAGCAGAATTATGTAGTATGTCCTCTCTCTCTCTCTTCTGACTTCTTTTACTCAGACAACTATTTTGAACTTCATCCAGTTTGTCTACTCATGTCCTGCCTTCATTAGGAATCTTAGCACATCACAAGGGTTATTTAAGAAAAATGCCAAGTGAAAATTCTTTTTTTTTTTTTTTTTTTTTTTTTTTTTTTTTTTTGGCCAAGTGACAATTCTTGAGAAAATGTACACTCATTTCACCAAGGTCAGAGAACAAACCCCTTGCAAAAGTGCCAAGAAACCAAACAATGCCTGCAAGCCTCATCGTATGAGCAGGCCTCACCCAGATGTAGACTTGGTGCTGTACCTCGGCCGCCAAGTATTTGCTGGAATAGTCGTGCTGTGACAAGATACTTGTCACGCTCAGTAGTCTCCTCCCATCTCCTAAATGGTCTTTCTATGCGTGGGATAGTCACACATCTATAGTCCTTCCCCAAGGTAGAAGCCAGAACTTATTTTCTCAGCCTCACTGACCAGAGGGAAAAAAAAAAAAGATACCAGTAACCGAGGGACCTCAAGGAGACAGTGGACAGTGAGGCCCTCCAGTTCACAAGTCCTTTCACACATGCTGACTGCCATTGGGTTTTTTGGTGCTCCACTTTTTAAAAATTATTGAGAGGCGCCTGGGTGGCTCACTCGGTTGGGCATCCAACTCTTAATTTTGGCTCAGGTTATGATCTCACGGTTCGTGCGTTCGAGACCTGTATTGGGCTCTTTGCTGACAGCACGGAGCCTGCTCGGGATCCTCTCTCTCAACCTCTCTCTGCCCCTCCCCAGCACGCTCTCTGCTGCGTGCTTTTTCTCTCTCCCCTCTCTCTCTCTCAACATAAATAAATAAACGTTAAAAAAAAAAAGCTTACAAAAACCCACAGTGCCATTATTACACTAATTTTGTAATTATTGAAAAGATGACTTCTGGCTTAGACAATGTGGGACTCCTTTCTCCCTGCTCTTCCCTGTTAAGTACAGTGATAAACCATGGAAATATGCAAGAGGCGATTAGAGAATAACTCTGAAAAGTGAGAGAAGGATGATATACTCCCACCCAACAGAGGATGACCCAGGTAGGCTTACTCCTCTCGCAAATTGCACAGGAGTCCCACTGACACCAGACGAATGCAGCCCCACCAGCAAGGGGAGTTCATCAGAAGCCCACCAACAACAAGCAGCCGGTGGAGGGCAGTGGAACACTCTCCTTCCACACCTGGCCTGAGACCCACATTCCCTGCCAAGGGACGCCGG